GGCCGACACATCCATCCCCAACACTGAGCTGTTTGTGGAGTCCTGCAGGGCGACTCCCTATGACAACCCCAACTCCCGCATCAGCTACACCATCATTGAAAACGGGTAAGAAAAAAAAAATTATTCTCCAACATTACCATTAACCATTTTCTTTATCTGATACATTTCCATGGGTTGTTACAGATGTGTGAAGGATAAAACTGTGGAAATTTATTCTGCGTCAAAGTCTCAGTTCAGATTTGGAATGGAAGCTTTTGAGTTCATCGGAGCTCATGAGGAGGTAAAGTAATATTGTTTAAACATTCATTAATTCCAACATAAGAGTGTGGGACGTCAACAAAGTAAATCTACTTTTTAGAAAATTGGAGTCTTTAGTTCATTACTGTTTGTATCTGAAAGCCCTTTTTTGAGAATTTGTTTTCTCAAATTTAGGAAACTTAGGAAAGATAAGATGGTGAGTAGAGACTGTAGCTTCTCCTGTCACTAAAGTGTTGTATTTGCTTAGGATTTTATCAAGTCGTAGGACTCCTAAATGCATTCAGTCATGGCAGATCCTGCCATACAGTCGGGGCCACATCTGACAACTACTGGCAAGACAGTTGGGTTAAATGTTTTGCCCAATGACAAAGTCACTGAGAAATAAGCGACAGGAGCTTCAAGCAACAAAAACAACCCACCATATCCAGGACAAATCCCTTCATCCTGAGCCACTGCATAGACCAGGTTTCATTACTTCCGGTCTTTGAAGTCCAGCATCCTGCACATTTTAGAAATGTCCCTGCTTTAACACACCAGAGTATAATAATCACCACATTAGCAGGATTCTGGAAAACTTGACAGTGTGCTTTGAGATAATTTGATCAGGTGTGGAAGCAGAGATATCTAAAAGGTGCAGGACACCGGACATCACGAGCCATAACTGCATAATTCGATTGAGATGTAATTCACCAGCTGTTTCGTTGATCCTCTGAGTTTGCTTTGCTGTGTTGGTCCCCTTGTGTCGGTTCAGTTTTTCCATGTAAAGCTCTAAATACCATATTAAATACCATATCATTACCTTTTTTTGTCTGGGGTCGCTACACGAACAAACAACAGAGGGCGCCAGTTTTTTGTAAAGCCAGTGACCTCACTGTGGCCGGGATAATCTTTCTATCACAGCAGGGAAGAATTAGCCTCGTGAGACCATCCTGATCTCACGGGCTTTCAAGATTTCACTCGCCAATCAGTCTTGTGACTCTCCGTTGAAGAAAATTTGGAGCTGTTCACCACACTAACGTCCAATCAGCGTTGGCTTTGAGGCGGGTTGAGGTGTGACGCAACGAGAAGCGCGACAGTTCAGTCTAAAGAACATGGCGGCTTCCTCCGATGAAACTAGCGTTAGCGTGGCTATCGGGCAAGTTTTATCGGAATTACAGAGTATTTCTTCACTGAAAGAAGAGCAAAACACTGCTCTGGAGGCTTTTCTCAGAGGAAAAGATGTTTTTGCTCTTCTCCCGACTGGGAGAAGAGAGTTTGATTTATCAATTGGGTTG